GGCGCCTTAGCCGCTTGAGCCACAGGCGCCGAGCCTATTATTTTTTTTTTAGAGTTCACTTTGTCACCCTCAGTAGAGTGCTATGTCGTCACAGCTCACAGCAACCTCCAGCTCTTGGGCTTAGGCAATTCTCTTGCCTCAGCTTCCTGAGTAGCTGGGACTGGCGCCCTAGCCGCTTGAGCCACAGGCGCCGAGCCAGAGACTCTCTCTTTAAAAAGAAAAAAGCATAGGGGTGTCTGACACATATGCTGAGCATCCCACCTCTCTCATCCTTAATCTGAGGGACACGGAACTGGTCCCTTCACATCACTGCTGTGTACTCTGGGAAGCCATGGTCCAGGCAGGCTCTGGCCCTGTAGTGTGTGTCCTGCAGGACCTGCGTTAGTGGCTGTGCTGTGCTGTCACTGTGCCTGCTGTGGTACCCCTGCCCTGAAGGGCCCCAGGGGAAGCCCCTTGGCCTCTTACTCTCTGAGCATCCCCCCTCCCAGAACTTCTAACCAAGCCTGGGGCTTTGGAGCCTTTTGTCATTCAAAGGGGTGGTACTCTGAGGACCAGGGCAGCTGGAGGACCCCAGGGACTGCTGGTGGGTAGCAGAGGTGGTTGGGAGGTGGGCCACATTCCACCCCCCATGCTGTATTTTGAGTTCCTCCCTTTCCCATGTGTGCAGGTGATTGAGCTGGTGGACAAAGAAGATGTTCATGTCTCTACTAGCCAGGTGGCTGAGATTGTGGCAACGCTGGAGAAGGAAGAGAAGGTGGAAGAGAAGGAGAAGGCCAAGGAGAAGGCAGAGAAGGAGGCCGCAGAGGTGAAGAACTAGGCTGCTGGTCCTAGCACCTGCCTTCTGCACCAGCTGCCATGGAGATGGCCGTGGTAGTGACTGCTTGGAAGTGATTCTTAGTGGCAAATCTAATATTTTGTCTGGATAAATCAGAAACTTCCATAATCAAGTAATTTTTAATATTCATCATTCCATGAAGATTCAATCAATCTGGAATCCCAGAGCCCGTCCAGGGAGTCATGTCTGGATTCATACCAGGACATGGATGTGGCCCCACCAGCCCCCTGCGTGTGGCCATACTGTCTCAGTGTCGCTGCTGTTCTTGCCCCAGGAGGGTGAGGACCCTGTGGACACTGACATTGGAGCACAGCCTCCTCAGCACTGAAGACAATGCTCTGGCCAGTCGGTGGACTCCACCTCCTTCAGGATCAGTGTAAATGTGGATCTCTTCGTGCACATTTTCAGAGTCAGGTCTGTGTAGCTATTGGGACAGAAGCGTCTTCTCTCAGTGGCCTCTGGGAAGTGACATCTGACAATAATGCCCACGATTCTTGTGCCGATTCCCCATTATGTATTGACTGGAGTTCGCTCTTGATTTGCCTTTTATTTTTACCTAATTCTTTAATCAGCTGAGCAGTACGGAGTTTGCACATAGGGCCATCTGCCTGACTCGTGAGGAATATCTGACCTAAATTATGTTGTGAGAGATACTAATGAAGCCTTTGGCAATGATGTGTCTCCTTCTGGGTGGTCCTTGTGCTGCTGTCATGTGGGCTGCTGACGTTCACTGCAGGGGCTAGAGCAGGTGCTCTGTGATCTGGAGGTAGCCCTAGCCCGGGGAGGGTCTCCATGGTCAGAAGGGCCCTGGCACATCCCCAACATAGAAGGAGCACAGCCTGAAACACCCATGGGGCTCTTGGTGCCATGACTATGTGCACCTGTGAGTCGATGGCACCTGTCCCCTTAGCTGTTGTAGGCCCTCAGGCAAGTGGCTGTACTCCGGAAGCCAGGGAGCGGGAACATGGGGTACAGAGGCCATGTCAAAGGTCTCTCAGGGCAGCAATACCGTCAGTGCTTAGGGCTTGCCCAGTGTCCCCTAGGTGGAACCAGGCAGCCTCCGTGGGCCGGGTGGCTGAGGCATCCTGTGGCTACCACCACTTCCTGTCCTGTTGTGTGGTCACACTCAACATCCTTTCAAGGCCTGGCTGGCTGCTGGTGAGAACATCCTTTCAGGGGCTCAGACATGGGAATTTGGGAGAACAGGGATAGCACATAGAGTGGCCAGTTAGCCAAGAGGGCAGCAGCTCGCAGAGGGGGACATTTCTGTTACTTGAAACTTTTTATTGTTCAGCCATTAAAGAAGAAACTTGACAATTAGGAATAAGATTATATATTCTTAAATGTAAATCTTTGTAAAATATTAATAGTTGGGTTCTAAAGGATTTTTATTTCAATTATTTGAAAAAGAAGTATGTTTTAGATTCCTATTTATGAATTCTGTCACCCTGTGTGAGTTGCCTGGTTTTCAGTGGTCAAAGTGTACTTACTTTTGAGGACAGCTTTGTGGTTACCAAACAGTCCCTCTGATGATGGATGTCTTCCCTGTGAGTGGGACTCTGGGGCAATGAGCTGTGACCACCACTTGGCCTCATCTGCACTGTCTGGCCAGGTGCAGGCAGCCCCATTGGTCCAGGGCTCTGCCCTCTCCCTTCCAGGTTGACTGTTGGGCTCTGCAGGCATGTAGGGGATGGTCCTTGTCAGTACTGGTGACCGCAGTTGGGCCTGAGACTGGCTCAAGGGGGAACCTTTGCCATGTCTGTTTATTGCAGCTGAGATAGCATCCAGACACAGTGTGAGAAATGGATCCAGAGTTTTGTGTGAGGAGGTTTTTTAAAACTGTCTATGTTTATACCTGCCCAGTGCCTGAACCTACAGCCTCCTCCTGCTCTCGTAGCAAGGGCATTGCCTGCTTCGGGGAGCCTTCCTCACTCTACCTGCAAGCCTGCTTCTTAAGCAGGGTTTAGGGTTGTGGGTCTTCCAAAGTCATTTTGGAATATCACAGTCTAGACTTCTTAAATGAAGGGCACTGTGTTAGTTTTAAAAGATGACCTGACAGTGGTGGTTCTCATGGCAGGGGCTGAGACCTCCATGGCCGGCACCACCTGGGAACTTGGGGAACAAATCCTGTCCTGCAGGGGTCCCGGACCATATGTTAACACCTTTTGTAGAAACAGTATTTTTATTAAAAACATCAAATCCATGTTCCTGTAACAGCTCAGAGTAATATTTTTAACCCTTTGACACATAAAAAGTCCAGATGGAAACTGTCAGAGCCGTCTCAGTGTCTGCTATTCTGCCTGGATATTTGGCTCCCCGGGGAGTGCTAGGGCCAGATCTAGAAGACCCCCATTTCCTTGGGAGACCCTTCAGAGTACCCAGTCACCCCACCCTGGGCTCAGGGCCTGGTTCTCGGCCTCCTGCCTTGGGGGATAGTCTGCAGCCCTTTGGCAACTGGGCGGAGTGTGGGGGTCCTTGCCACATCAGATGTGCCACTGTGCCAGCCTGGCCCATGTGGTCACTTGTTTTCTAGACACCGTTTGATATAAGGAGACTAATAAACCACCGTCTTGACATCCGACAACCTGTCTGCCACACAATGATTGTCTGGGGCCTGCCTGACACTCAGATTCTTTGCTGGCTTAGGGCCCACGGGACAGGTGCCAGCACCTAGAATCTGTTTCTTGGCTGGGTGGTGGCTGGAACCCTGCCCTTCTGAAAGATTCTTGGGGAGAGGACTGGGGGTACACAGCGCTGCTGCCCATACCACAGTCTGCTTCCCAGCCCCCTTGCAGGGCCCAGGTAGCCTGAGGGACACACAGCATATAACCTTTGTTGGAGGGTGGGCAGAGGATCCCAGCTGCAGGGCTGAGCTGTGGTGTCTATTCTGCCAAACCTGCTGCCTCAGTGCACAGACTGCCCTGCCCAAGTCTGGACACAGCCTCTCAGGGCCCCCCCCTCCATGCTGGTGTCAGGCTCTCCAGGCGTCTCACAAATTTCCTCCCTACACTGCTGCCGGCTGTGTGAGCATGCTGATGCCTCACCCTTGCACCAGGCCTTTGGGACATGGCCCAGTGAGCCTGAGGACAGTGAGGGACCTGAGCTAACCAAAGGACACAAGGCCTGGGCTGAAGCCTGTTCCTCTCCCTAATCTCCCCCCAGGGTTCAGACACCCACCCGAAGGTGCCCAGCACAAGAAAGGCCAATGCCAGGGCTAGAGCAGGAAGTACATGGTGGGGATGGCAGTCTGTGGAGAGCAACTGGCCTACAGTGACAGTCCCATAAGGATTCCGGAGAGAATATGGCTCATCTGCCTTCCCAAAAAGCTCTCCCTTTCTCTCCAGGAGCACTCAAGCTGACAGGCCCAGGGAAGCCCTGGGACCCATCCATGGGAAACCTCCAGGCCTGCCAGGAGCAAGTCAGACACCCTATAGGAGCCACTAGCCATGTCTGGCAGGCAGGGCCTTCTACAGGACACAACTGTCCCCAAAGAGCCATCCCAGAGATGAGAGACCCAGCTGCCCACTCGGGGGCGGGGGGGGGGCACAACTGGAGAGGTTCCACTGTGGTGACAGCAGAGACCTCCCATGTTTGTGTTCTTACTGGGCAGGGGCTCTTGGTGGGCAGCTCTGAGGACTGAGCTTCCTGTGCCTGGTCTACCTGAGTTGTCTAGGCTAGGGAGGGGCTGGGGAGGCCTGGGGGGAGGCAGGAGGCCTGGCTCATTCAAGCCCAGAGGGTGCAGGACCTGCTTGCCCCTCAGCCTCATCTGCCCCCTCCAGACCTCCCTCCTCTGGGCACTGTCCCCATGTCCTATGGCCAGGCCAGCCTTTGGGTCACCACCACTGGATCACTGAGCAGGTGGGGGGCATGATGCTCTTTTCAAAGTCGCTGTGCCCACCCCGTCAGGAAGCTGCTGCCCTGACAAGCACTCAATAGGGTTAGGCCCTAACAGCCTACCCAGAAAATGGGCCAGAAATGCCCTCGCCTGGAAAGTGAGTTCCAACTTACAATGGGAACGAGGCTCCCAGATCAGGTGGTATGTGAGGTGGAATCATGCCTGCCTCCTCCCAAACTCACTCCCACCCTGCTCAGGCTGTGACCATGGGAGGATGGGAGAGGTCTGCTGAAAGGCACAGGCATGGCTGGCATGGAGGGGGGAACCTGTGGAGCCCTTAGCAGGTGGCCAGGCTAGGGGGAGAGAAGCTGGCCAGGAGAAAGGCCATCACCTGTGTGGACTGCACTCTACTGAAATCACTCTGTTTATAGGCAGCTCCATGTTGGGACACCTAGAAAGCTCCTCTCCTCAGGCAATTAAGCAGGCAGGTGCTGGGGGCCAAGGGGGCCCCTCAGACCTACACAAGCGCCTGAACATGACCCCCATGAGCTGGGGGCAGCCAGGGAGCTGGCTCACCCAGAGCTCATTCTCTGAGCTCCCACCAGGGCCTACCACCAACACCAGACTGCATCCTCACCCTGGAGTCCTCCAGCCAGTCCACAGGTTTGGAGCCCTCCCAACCTCCTTAGGGGCAAATGACCCCACAAGGAGCAGCCCAGGGTCCCATACAGAAGGCAAGGAGCCCAGGGCAGGGTGGGAAACAGTCTTCTTGCTTTATTGGGAAAGTATATCTGCTGGGCTCACAAGATTATGTCTACTGGTTTGGGTCACACTGTAGTCACCAAGCACTAGGCTGCAAGAAGAGACCACCCTGAGCCACCGCACAGCCCACGAGTAAGGGACAACCACCCCAACTCAGGCCATTAACGGCACAAAGTAACAAAACTGAATTCACGGCTTCTCTCCCAAGCTTTGAAAGGCAGCAGTCCAGGCTATAACAATCTAGAAGCATTGCGTAAGAAGTGTTAAGTCTACAGCAAATACATCTTGTAAAAACTCAATAAATTATATATATAGATATATATAAACTTGTAACATCTAATAACATCTGAACCTGCACGCAGGGCAGGCCCTTCCCTGGAAACTGCCTCCTTGCCCAGAACACGCAGCAAGGAGAATTTGAATGAAAATACCAGCTTGCCTTAAAGTCCAAAAAAAATAAATCTCCTAAAGAAAAATCCTATAGAAATCTAATTCCCCTGCAAAGGAAATAAAATATCCTCCCCGAATCACCTCCAACTATTAGCGGCCTTCAAGGCTCTGCAGGCAACTCTAGCTCAGGCACGGCTGGGCACATTCTCTGTAACCCTCAGCTGTTAATAACTTAAAACCTAAAATTCTGTATGCTGTGGGGCTGGCTAAAAGCTATGAGGGGGTGATGCAGGTGACAAGGGTGCTGGAGGTCGATAAATAGCTGTACAAATATACAGGTCCAAGTACAATTTTTAAAACAAAACTGTGGTGCCAGAAAAGTGCCTGCACCCCTGCCTGCATTTGTGTTGTGTCAACAGCGAGTTCCCTGGGGACCTCCCCACCAGGGCCACCCCCACCTCAGCACCCCAGGTCTCAGTGTGCAGCCTCTCCCATAGATACTTTTATATATACGTATGTATATCATATACACAATGCTATTTATATAAATGTACACTCGTTTCTAGAATAAACTTTGTGGATAGAGGTTAAAGGCTTCTACCTTCAGGTACCCGTAATTTCAGTCTGAGGGGGAGGGAAGCAAGGCGGCAGGAAGAGGCACTGGGTACTGATACTCGCCCCCAGCAGGTGCCAATTGGGTAGAGGTGGGGGGTGTCGGAAGAGGGCTATTCTGCAGGCTCAGCTCTGGGCACTGGAGGTCTCAGCCCCTGACCCGTGACACTCCCGTGGGGCACAGAGGGCCAGGCAGGGGCTGAGTCTGGGCAGTCTGGCTCAGTGCCTGCCCCTGGGGGATCGAGGGGAGGACCCTTTACATTCTTTACTTCGACCCCTCGGTGCAGAGGACCTGCTTAGGAGGTAACAGCACAGCAGCACAGGCCTCAGGATGGCTGCACCAGCCGCAGTGCTCACACGTGCACACACAGGCGTGAAGCACTGTTGGTCTGTCGGTCTGTACCAGGTTCTGGCCTGGGGGACCACACACCAGCAGCCCAGGGTGGGCTGGCGTCCCCTCTCACATTGCTGGGGGCTCAGACTGCAAGCTGATGGCCTTCACGTCCTCGGGCCCCCGCTGCTGGGCAGGGCCGGGGGCAGCAGCTCATGGGCAAACACAGAGTCATCCCCAGAGGAGCTGGAGCTGGGGGTGTCCTGGCCACCCGGGGAGTACTGCTCAAAGGGCACTGACAGGTCCAGGTATTCCTGCCGATGGGGACAGGCAGTCAGGCATGCCAAAGCCCAGCTTCCCTCCCAGGGAGCCTGCCCCATCCCTCAGGGGTCTGGGCCTGGGTCACACTCACATCGGTGGATGTCACAGTGAGTATGCGGTCCAGGTCCTCCACCAACTGCTTGAAGGTGGGCCTCTGAGAGGGCGCAGCATGCCAGCACTCACGCATGATCATGTACCTGCGAGGAGGCCACTCAGCCACAGCTCCCGGCTGCCCACCCCCAGACTGCCTGGCCTGCCCTACCCGGCCTGTGGAGACTCACAGGTCATGTGTGCAGTTGGCTGGCTTGTCCATGCGGTGGCCTTCTTTCAGCAGCTTGAAGAGCTCCTCAACAGGGACACCAGGATAGGGTGAGCCTCCTAGCGTGAAGATCTCCCAGAGCAGGACCCCAAAGGACCAGCTGCAGGGGCACCCAGGGTCAGACTGCCCCGTGGCCCTCACCCCTGAACTGGTGCTCGGGCAGGTACCAGGGGCCCTCAAGGGCAAAGGACAGACCACCCTCTGAGAGCCCCAGGCCTAGGGCTGTAGAGGCTGCATCTGGGCTGCTGGCTCTGCCCCCAGAGCTCCCCTCCCCCAGGGTGGGGCTGAGGGAACATACACATCACTCTGGTGGGTGTAGACACGGTCAAACAGGGCCTCAGGCGCCATCCACTTCACAGGCAGCCGGCCCTGGGGGAGGACAGGAGAGGGATGCTAGCTACTAGGTGCCCTCCTGGGATGCCCCCTACCCCCCACCCCAGAGCTGGGCTCACGTTTGTGGTCTTTTTATAGTAGTCCAGGTTGTGCACGTCTCGAGCCAGGCCGAAGTCTGCGATCTTCATCACGTTGTCCTCAGTCACAAGCACGTTGCGGGCGGCCAAGTCCCTGTGAATGCACTGGGGTGCGGGGCCAGGGCTCAAGACACTGCCCTGCCTCTCCACACACACCCACAGCCCACAGGCCAATCACCTCCAGCTCCTACCCTGCTCACCTTCTGGGAGGCCAGGTACTCCATGCCTCGGGCCACCTGGTAGGCACAGGACACCAGGTCCTTGAAGGTGAGCTGCTCCTCCGGCAGCTTGCAAGTGTCAAAGGAGTAGTCCATGCCCGGGGGCCGCCGTGCCCGCAGGTACTCACGCAGGTTGCCCTTGGCCGCATACTCCACCAACACGTACAAGGGCCCTGTGAGCACAGGCTTCTCAGAGGGGCACCTGGGGCCGGGGAGGGCACCCACCAGCCCACCTGGGCCCCTGCACCTACCACCCTGTGTGCAGGCCCCCAGCAGGTTGATGATGTTCTTGTGCGTGCCGATCATCTTCATCATCTCCATCTCCGATACCAAGTCCGACAGGTCCTTGTCAGTGGCATTGTCTGTGCAAGGAGGGGGTATCAAGTGGTGCACCCCCAGCCCTGCTCAGCTGCCCCTTGCTATGCTATATGGCTCCTCACCTTTCAGCATCTTCACAGCCACGGTGACAGGCTTGGCAGCTCGGTCCTTGTCAATGCCGATGGCCTCTGCCATGACCACCTGGCCGAAGCATCCTTCCCCCAGAGGCTTGCCCAGCGTGAGCCTGGAGCAGCAGAGGGAAGAGTGCTTGAACCCACCTGCTCCCAGCCCCGCCGTGTGCCCTTGCCTAACCCTGCCCAGCAAATCTGCCTCCAAGCAGCCCTCCACATACACCTACTCCTGCTCATAAGGATGGAGGAGGATGTCGCCCTCAGTCATCACCCTATACTGTGCTCTCCAGCAGAGCATCTTGAGAGGAATGGGTTGCTGCTGGGTACCCCCCTGGAAGCAACTCCCAAGGCCCTAGCCTGTACCTGATAGCTATCATTAGCCAACAGCCCTGAGCCCCAACCAATTCCAATCAAAATCCAGCTGGCACCTGCTGGCTAGCCACCCCCACCCCACCAGAACCCAAGACAGCCTTTCTGTGCACCGTTACCACCACTGACCTGGCCCGGGGCAGCTCCCACTTGGGGTCAGCTGGCAGCTCGAGCTCAGAGACATCGGCTAGTGTGGGGCCCTCTCCTGAGGACAGGCGGGCAATGCGGACCAGCGGCGTGTTGGAGCTCATGGACGAGTTGGACTCCAAGGACACCTGCTTGGGTCGGCAGGGGCAGGTTGGCGCCGCACTCGAGAGCTGGGGGCAGGGTGGGGAGGAGCAGCCTCGGCAGGGCACCAGGCCCAGGCACACAGGCAGGGCACTGGGCTGGGAAGTGGATGTTCTGACTTCTATTAGTGTTAACTAAAGATTTTTACAAGTGTTTTGTAACCCAAGGTAACCTGGGCTTCATGTGGTGTCCTGAGATGAAAGAGGGATTAGTCTACCTGCTTACAGAGAAACATGTCCCATGTGAGCCCCCAGCATGGGACACTGCAAAGTTCCCTGAGAACAGAGACCCCAAGACCAGAGTGGGCCACAGGGGCCTGAGAGGCTGGCTGGGCCGCAGACAGCTCAGAACCTGGTATCTACTTTCTGTTACCTGTCGCTTCAGTGGGAAACGTGAGATCTTGTGCACGGTGGGTGAGCCCAGGCCCTTCTTTGGGGGGCTGCGCAGGCGGCAGAGTGTCACGGCTGCCACCACCAAGATGAACAGGAAGAAGCCCGCCCCGTAGCTGAGGACACCCGTGTACACGCTGCTGGCCTCGCCGGCTTCTGCCAGCTCCTCCTCAGCTGCAAAGACACGAGCACTGAGGCCTGGCCCGCCTCTTGGGAGCCCCCACGGGCTGCCCCAGGCAGAGCTGCAGACACCGGGGAGTGGGGCGGGGCTCAGAGCCTCCACAGAGAAGCACCCCAAAGGGCCAGGCCAGACCCCAGAGAAAAGGAGCCCAGCAAAGCCAGCAGCACCCATACCACCACCCAGGCACCAGGCAGAGGCCAGAGCTGCGGCGGAGGGCCCACGTTTAAGGATCCAGCTGGTCGTCGGGTGACCCTCTGAAGCCAGACAGGGCTGGTCAGCTCTGTTCCGGGGCCAGGGCCAGGGCCAGTTGGAACAGGGTAACTCATGTTGCAGGGTCCCAAGCCTGTCCACGGCAGCTGTGGCACACCCCAAGCCAGCACCCTGAGAGCACAGGTGCAGAGCGGCAGGAGCCAGTACCTGGCAGCACCGCCAGCCACGCAGAGTGATGGGAAAACCCGATAGAATTGCCCGCCAGGCAGGTGTACTCCCCGGCGTCCTCAAAGGTAACATTGCGCAAGGACAAAACCTCTAGCTCTTTGTCGGTGGTGTTAGCGCCCGCCGTCTACAAAGAGAGAACAGAGCGCGATAGGCGAGCGCCAGCACCTCCCCACGGGCACCATAGCAGAGTCCACACGGCGATGATCCAGCCAGGCTGCAAGGAAAATGCTACCACCACCGCCTCGGCCACCACCATCTTGGCCACCACCACCTCGGCCATGGCAGCCACTGCCACGGCAGCTGAGGGCCCTCCGCCTGTGTGTCGGCACCGAGCCCGAAGCCAGTCCCTCCACCGGCGTCCTCTGTCCCAAGTGAGCATCAGGCACGGCGCTGCGCAGGAGCAGCATGCAAGGTTAGCACGGAGAGCGGAGGGTGCAGATGGAGGACAGGTGGACAGACTGGCTGGAAGCGAGCAGGCAGTGGGGCTGTGGCCAGAGAGAGGCAAAGGTGGACACTCAGTGTGGTGTCCGGCCTGGTGGGTGCTGAGGACCTCATGGGGTGCATGGGGGTGTGGGAAGGGCCAGCACAGGCCCGAGGCTGGAAGCGGGCAGTCACCGTGGAGGCCGGCACTGCCCAGGTGGCCAGAGCAGAGCAGAGTGGGAGTGGGAGCGAGCAGGATGGGCGTGCAGGGCGTGCGGGGGCTCGGCCAGAGCCTGGGAGCTGGAGCTTGAGTGCCGGCCGGCGTGGGACAGAGTTGTTACCTGCTTGGGGCCCGTGAACGCGCAGCCAAAAGGCCTTCTCAGCCACGCCTATGAAATTGGTGGCTCGACAGAGGTACTCGCCCCCATCCCGCTCCGACACATTGGCCAGGCGGAGGCGCGCGTCTGCCTCCGCGCTCTCACTGATCCAGGACTGCGGGGACAAGAGACCCGGCTCAGGCACGCCCCGGGACAGCCCCGCCAGGCACGAGGCAGGACATGGAGACCCCAGGACCGGCTAGGGCTGGGCCTGGAGGTGGCGTGGTGGCACCTCCTGGCAGTGGCTGAGATTTCCCAGGATGTGCTTGTTTTGGCCACCCTGAACTCCTAGAGCCCTCCAGAGACTCTCCAGCCCTGCACGCAGCACCCAAAGGCACAGAGGGACTGCGGCAGCCTCTCCCTGTCCCCACCAGACGAATCGTCTCTAACAGATGTTTTTCTTTGTACTGAGTGTCGCAGCTGTCCCAACTCAGCAGCCCCCACCCCTGCACTGTGGGAGCAAAGCTAAGGGCTGAGGGCACCATGCAGCTGGCAACAAACAGCCTGTTGGGCCAGCTCTAGGCTCAACCACCAGCCTCAAGGTCCAGAAGGACCCAGAGGGCCCAGCTACCACCTTCCTACCCTGGGCCACCATTGCTGCCCCTGAGCCTCGGCAGCCACCTGCGGCCCAGAGCAGGGTGTGGCTGCTGTGACAGCCTCTAGCCCAGAGCCTCCACTGCCCCTTCCCCAGAAAGCATCGATGACACCTGGCTCAGATCTTTCCACATCCCCCAGCCCAGGAGCAGCCTTGGGATCAGGCCCAGGAGCCCCCAGCACTCATTTGAGCACCGACTCACCTTAAGCACAGTGACGTAGGGCGTGCCGTCGGGGCCCACCTTGCTGCCATTCACCTCCACGTGCTTCAGCCACTGGATGTGCGGCTGCGCATCACTATACACCTTGCAGTGGAACTCCACGTCACTGCCAAGCACTGCTGTCTGGTTGGCTGGCAGCCCCGCCTGCAGGATGGGACGGTGTGGAGAGCGCTCTGCAGGAATAGCCAGGGCTCAGGAGCTGCCCACTGCCGCCAGCAGCCACCCTGCCTGCCGCCCCAGTGCTCACCCAGCACATCCAGCGTGTATGTCTGCCGCAGGCTGCCGAACTTGTTTTCCACCACACAGGTGTAGTTGCCCCGGTCCGAGGGTACCACGCTCTCCATGACCAGGCTCCACTGCTGGTGCCGAAGCTGCAGCAGGATGCAAGTGAGCTGAAGCCACCAGACTCTCCCACCCCTGCCTGCGCACCCCCAGGCCAAGGCCCTGCCCCCGCCAGGCCACCTTGATGCCCCCGATGCGATGCTCGCCACGGAACTCCTTGCCATTCTTCAGCCAGGAGATGGAAGGAGTGGGGTTGCCAGCAGCTGGGCAGCGGAAGCGGACAGTGTTGGCGGCCGGCACAGCCAGCAGCTTTTTGTCCATCCGCTCAGGCCTAGTCCAGTAAGGGGCCCCTGCCAGAGGACACACACATGAAGGCCATGACCAAGGCCAGGAGCAGAGGCCCAGCTGACCCGACAGACACCTCTGCCTCCAAGCTACCCCTGCCCACTCTGCCTCAGTTTCCTCTCCTGTGCAAGGAGAGTGCTAGGGGCTGCCTTCCTGCCAGGACTCTTGGGGGAGGCTGGGCCAGCAGCCTCACTGCTATCCAGTTCCTGGAGGACACTGAGGTGCAAGTGGGAACAGCGTGCACAATATGCTGGTGCGAGACTCCTCGGGCTTGCTACTGCTTCCTCAAGCCTCTTGGGGTTGGGGGTAGAGACCCCCAAGGTGACATGATACCCCCCTTGGGGTGATGTGAGCTCAGCAGGCTGTGGCAGAGACCATCTGCCAGGACTGGAAGACCACAGGACTCAGGGCTGCTACTGCTAGTGGCGCCCTTGGAAGGTGGCCCCCAGTGACCCCACAGCCTGAGCCACATGGGAGAAAATACCAGCACCTACCCAGACAGTGGGTCGGACATTTCCATCCTCTCCTGGGATATGTTCCC